GCTTGCCCCACAAACCTGCACGTCCGGGGCATCCGCTGCGCCCTCCAGGGCGTTCAGGTTGTAGATGTGCTCTCAGAATGACAGACTGGTGGCACCCGATTGGGGCAAGGGGGTGGGGGTAAAGGGGGGAGCCCCAGGCAAGGGGGAGCTGGAGGGTTAAAAATAGCAGCAGCCGGGTTTCGGTTAGCAAATGTGGAGGCGGGGAGCTGGAGGCTCGGCGGCAAACAGGGCAAACAGGGCTGTGCTTCCCCTGGGTCCAGCAGTGAGTCACGGTGGAGAGCTGGTGAGGCACAGGCCCCGCACCCCCACAGGCCAGTGGGGCGGGGGGGGGATCAAAGGAGGTGTGGCTCTGGGCCCAAGGGTTGTGTGATGTGGGGAAAGACTGAAGCCCGAGACCAAGGTTTGAATGCTGGCCGAATTGCTGTGGGGCCTTGTGTGAGTGAGGATGCTGAGGCCTCCAAGTCTCTGTTTCCTCCTGGCCTTTACAGAGTTGTCCTTCATTGGGATTGTAAACACTTGGATTCTAAAGCATCCTCCAGATGTTAGTTCTCACCTCTGACTGCCCTGTGCCCCTGGCCAAACCCAGCAAGAGGCACTGCTTGTAAGCTCAAGAAGGAAGAATGGTTGGCCTGGCTGGAGTCTCTGTTTCTCTTGCAAAAGGCCAAGCTTGGGCACCTTCTCTCTCTTGGAGTTGTTATAGAGATTAAAGGAGATAATGTAAACAGCTTGAGTGCCATGCCTGGTAGGAAAGCCATGCCCATGGAATACTCATCCTTACTGATATTATTGTTCATATTTTTGAAGGTCAGGGTTAGAGAATGTTGGAGATGGGACAGAACTGGGCCCGGCCCCAGTTCACAGGAAAAAACCAGGCCAAATTCCCTGCTCCAGATTCCTCCACCCCTGTGGGCCTGAGACAGCAAGAGTCTATAGCCAGCAGTCACAGGGTGGACCCTGCTTCTCTACTCTCCTTTTCCAGAGAAGTGGGGTGAGGGGGACCCCGGCTTTGCAGCCAGCTGGCTTGTGAGAGGGACAACCATGCCAGCCTGGGGAGAGGCTGGGACAGGCCGCCTCAGATGGCCCTTGCCAACATCTGCTGTGGTGACCTTTATTTTAGCCCCTCCCTGGCAGCCCTTAGGAGGGTGAAGCAGAGGAGGGGTGGGCAGGTCAGTGACATCAGTAGTATCTCACTGGCCCTGGAAGAGAATGACACTTTGCTTTCAGGAAATATCATTATTCAGTCGCTAGGCATTCATTAAGTAAGGCCTGATTTTACCTAGCCTGGGCTAGGCCCTTGGTGTGATTCATAAGAGGCAGAGGCCACTAGTGGGTAGATAACATGGATTCTCAGAAGATCTGGGATCTACAAATATGTGGAGGCCTTGAAAGCTCCACGTCCTAGTTCTCATAAGACCCTTAGGTCATGTGTTGACTTTACTCCTGAGGTAGCATCCTCTTCATGTATGCATGTGTATGCGGGGATATAGCACATCATTATTACAGAGGTACTTTTTGTGCACGGTAGAAACAGACAGTCCAGAGTGGTGGTGTTAGAATAAAAAGCAGCGTGGACTGTGCAGATCACTGCTGTAGGCCCTCAGCACACACCTTCCTCATGTACCCCTTTGCACTGTAGCCCCAGCTGTCCTGGAACTCACTATGTAGACCAGGCTGGCCTTGAACTCACAGAGATCTGCCTGTCTCTATCTCCCAAGTGCTGGGATTTAAGGCGTGTGCCACCACGCCCGGCCTGCACTGCTTTTTTTAAAAAAATATTTTATTATTTTTATTTTATGTGTACGAGTGTATTGCCTGAATGTATGTGAGTGCACCTGTGTCGTGCAGTGGCCACAGAGGTCAGAAGAGGGCTTCAGATTCCCCTGGAACTGGAGTTAAGGACGGTTCGTAGCTGCCATGTGGGTGCTGGGAATCAAACCTTGGTCCTCTGCAAGAGCAGTCAGTGCTCTTAACTGCTGAGCCATCTCTCCAGACCCTTCACTTTTTTTTTTTTAATCCAAAACGAGATCACACTATACAGTACAGTATGTCACCTCATCCAGTCCCCAGGTGGCTAGAAATTGTCCTTGAAGTTGCTTTGCTCAAACCTGTGCTCAGGATCATACAACTGGCTGTTGAATTTCCCAAAGACTATGTAATAGCACCCTGGCTGTATTTGTGATCTGGACAAATCCTAGCTAAGGGCCAAGGGGAGTCCTGGCTGCAGAAGGGAATCGGATCACCTGGAGACTCTGCCTGATTGATTTCTGCTATCTTCCAAAAAGAGCAGGCAAAGGGAGGGGGAACTAGACATGACTGACTGGGTTTGGGATGTCTGGGATATTTACTGTCATTAATATTAATGTGGCATCTCAAGTGAGTGCCAGCATGAATAGCTTGTTGCTATTCAGAGACTCCAGATGCCTCCCATTTGCTTGGTCTGTACTGAGGGGCCAACCCCAGGCTGGGGGCAGGCCAGGGTCTGGGCAATGTTCTCCACCTTACCCCACCCCAGGGCTAATTTGGCCGTGGATCTGGTCTGCAGGAGTCTGTCCTGAAGGTGGGAGCTCCTGTCTGCACTGTGGTGCCTCCACCCTTCCACCTGCCCAATACCTGCCCAAGGGTGAGGCCTGGGAGTGAAGGAGAGCCTGTCTCCTTCCAAGGGAATTCACTCTGAGTACCACTCTGAGGGCGACTTGCTCTAGTTATGCAACTTGAATTTCTACAGGGCTCGACAGTTTGCAGAGTGCTCACACAGCCCTGGGAGGGCTGCCTGTGTAGTTTGTTGTACCCTGCTGGAAGCAGCTTACAAGAAGTGCAATAAAATGGTAAAATGCACATTCAAGAGGCTGGGGAAATAGAAGCTGAACGAGGAAGTGAAGATGGGGATCCTCCTGGAAACAGGGCATGTGTGGGACTGGGGCAGAGATGGGGTCTCTCCTCTTGTTACCATTATTGTTGATGTGTTTTGGATAGAGCACAGCATGCCACTGCTGCACTGTTCTGTCCCGTGTGTCCTTTTGGTGGCCCCACTTCGCCACCTATGAGATGGTGTCCATACCAGCGTACTCACTATGGGCTTAAGTTTTGGAGGCCCTGGAGCCCCCCACACCATCCCCCCATGTCTTTGCTCTCTTCTCTCCTCTTCCTCGCTCTTCTTTTGATGTCTTCTCTCCGCTTTCTTTCTCGTGGCATTGGGGATAAACCTAGAGCCTCTCTCATGTTAGATAAGCTCTCTATAGCCAAGCCACAGTCCATCCCTTTGCAACTTTAAAACAAATTTTTAATTTTATGTGTATGAGTATATTACCTGCATATATGTAAGGGCACCCATGTCATGCAATACCCACGGAGGACAGAAGAGGGCGTCAGATCTCCTGGAACTGGAGTTACAGGCAGTTGTTAGCTACCATGTGGTGCTGGGATTTGAACTCCAGTGTTCTATAAGAGCAGCCAGTGCTCTTAACTGCTGAGCCATCTCTACAGCCTCCCTTTGCAACTTTTTGAAAGTCATTTCTTATATATGAGTGTTTTCCTTGCGTGTATATAGCTGCATCTGTGTCATGCAATACCCACGGAGATCAGAAGAGGGCGTTGGATCTCCTGGAACTTGGACAATTGTTAGCCACCATGTGGGTGCTGGGAACTGAACCTGGGTCCTCTGCTCCAGCAGGAAGTGCTCTTAACTGTTGAGCCATCTCTCAAGCCCCTCGTTCGTTTTTTTGTTTTTGGTTTTGAGACAGGGTCTTCCTGTAGCCCCAGCTGGCCTAAAACACACTATGTAGACCAGGCTGGCTTTGATCTCACAGAGATCCACCTGCCTCTGCCTCTGCCTCTGCCTCTGCCTCCCAGGGCTGGGATTAAAGGCGTGCACTACCACACCTGCCTACTTTGCAAGTTTCTTAACTCTTAAAAAAAATTATTTTTATATTTTATGTGTATAAATTGCCTGCATGCCACAGGTGTGCAATACCCATGGAGACCAGAAGAGGGTGTCCGATCCCCTGGAACTAGAGTTATGGACAGTTCTTAGCTGCCATGTGAGTGCTGGGAACTGAACTCTGCAAGAGCACATCCTCTGCAAGAGCAGCCAGTGCTCTTAACTGCCAAGCCATCCCTCCAGTCCGAGTGTTTAACCTAAGCCCCAATTTCCTTTGTAATAACATCTACTTTTAGATGTTTTAGGCAGTTTTAGGCATAAGTAAGATGGTACATGAGTAAAATGCTTAATAGAGTAGCCAGTGCACTGTCAGCCTGAACATACGCTTTGGTCTTTATTAATGTTATGAACTGATGATTATAATTACATACTAAGTAACCTGGGCCTTTCCCCTGCCATCTCAGGAACAGGCTGAGAGATCGTTGGGTGGCACATGTAGGCAGTACTGAGGAAGGCACCTCTCCAGGCACACCGGCAACTGGAAGGCAGAATTCATGGGCAAGCAGGAATGGGGTACGCAGACAGGCCCAACCCCACGGCAGTCCTCAAGGGGGAGAAGGCACCGCCCCCAGAGGCAGCCCTGGGGTGATGACTGTGCTTCCTGTTGAGGCAAGCACTTGAGAAAACCTAGCTAGGTCTGGCCGCTGGTCTAAGTGGGCACTAAGGGGTGGGGAGGAGAGAAATGAAGGCAGAGCAGACAAGCGCCGAATTCGTAGCCATGGGGCCTCAGATCTTGTCTGTTTGGGATGTTTTCCTTATGATAGAAAGAGATAACAGTTCGACTTGCTGGTAACTTCCTATCTTAATGATTAGAGCTACTAGAGTAGGGAGTTGAGAGTGAATGTGGGACTGATAGAGGAGGGCTTTCAGCACCTAGAAATACAAGGGCTGTCTGACCTGGGGAGTCTGTCTGCTCAGGAATTCCCTAGGTGGACGGGACAGTGGCAAGCAGGCCCTAGTGATGGGAAGCTCTGCAGGCCTGCCATCCTGAGGAGGCTGAGGAGTGGTCTGAGAGGGCCCAGGAGGTGACAAGGCCTACAGAACTCCTTCTGTTCTTCAACAGAGAACAGCACAGCTTTCCAGAGTGCCACACCCATGAACCTACACCTGGGAAGGACCTGGGATCCCTGCCCCAGGATCCATGAGGAGAAGCCCCCAGAGGTGGGATGGAAGATCTGGGTAGGTGACAGAGAGCCAGGGAGGGGGACACTTTGCTACCCCCAAAGCGCTTGAGCTGCCACTGCCATGGTTACATCTACTTCCTGTTTGATTCATTTCAAACAGCAAAAGTGGGGGGTTGGGAGGGGGCGCTGGCTTCCAGTTCGGTCCACCCCTCCGCTGTGTGGGGCTGTTTACAACAGCGGCATGTGGGATTCCCAGAAAGAGACTCCAAACCGGACATCCTGTGGCTACAAAATACCCAGGTGTCAAGAGCTAAAAATAGTTGCCCTAGAGCCCCAGCCACCCCAAGGTGGCGGGGAAGGGGCCTGCTTGCTGCGGAGGCCGCCTGCACCTCCAGCCCTCTGCTCGCCGGGTGTCCAGCTGTCAAGCCTGTGGCCTCCAATCCCCTTGTGGCTGACCCCAGACCTCAGCTGCCCATATGCCAGCCGAGCCTCTGTCTACCAAGAACCTGTGCGGCTTGTTTTGCGCCTCATGTGAGAGGCTGTGGGAGGGCTTGGGAGCCGCTATTGAAAAGGTGCTGCTGAGTGAGGAAAATGCAGCAGGTGCCCCTCCGAGTTCCCAAGCCTGTGGCCAGCTGTCCTGGTCACTGCTTGGCTTCTACCAGGTCCAGTTGCTGCGGGGGATTTTTTAGGGCTGAATTCACCGGCACCCAGAGATGAATGCAACAGTCTCTGGCCTCTGGCCTGCACAGGACTGGAATTTCCTCTGGCCCTCTGTGGACCAAGAGCATCACCCTACATTTGCCCTGTGCTGGGCAGCCATGAGAGAGGAGAGGCACTAGGAAGAGCACAGATGTGCTGGTTGTGAGCAGAATTCTAGAGCCATCATGCCATGTGACCTCAGGGCATTTAATACTGGTGGGCCTTAGTCTATTCATCTATATAATAGGGATAAAAACAGTAACCAGCTCAGGTTTGTCACAGAGGAAAGTTAGCAAATGGAAGGTACTTGGGACAGGGTTCTAGCTCAGAACAGTTAGGGTGGAAGGGAAAAGGAAGCCACTGAAGTTGGAAAGGGTGGGGAGATACAGGGTGACCGTCTGTGTTGGGGGAGGAACCTGGTTCCTAGACCCTGATTCACTAGTAGAATTCACAGAACAGAGGCTCTGATGGGTTGAGGGGCAGACAGGAGTAAGGGCAGCCTTGAGGGTGCATGGCTGACCACAGCTGGCCTCTCTTCTGTTTGAAGATGCAGCAACTGAAGCTCGACTGGGTATAATTGTGTTTCTTGTTCTCCCTACCCGATCTCCGAGCCCAAGTCCTTGTTACTGCAGACCCTTATTCCTGTCAGTTTATGGCCTCCCAGGAACTGACTGTCCACCCTCTGGACTCAGGGTAAGTCTGAGCAAGAAGCAGTTCAGAGCCACAACAGTGAGTTTCTGGAAGGAGGATATGAAAAATTGTTAAGAAGGGCTAATTCAAGGGAAATCCTAGGGAGTCTAGAGTGGGAAGCGTATATATTTTTTTTCTTTTAATTAAAAAATATACTATTTTTATTTTATGTGTATACATGTATTGCCTGCATGTATATAAGTGCACCCATGTCGTGCAATGCCCGTGGAGGTCAGAAGTGGGTGTCGGATCCCCTAGAACTGGAGTTATGGACGGTTGTTAGCCATAACCTGAACCCAGGTCCTCTGTAAGAGCAGCCAGTGTTCTTAATGGCTGAGCTTGGGACTGTAGTTACCAAAAGTTATTAGCTGTCATGTGGGTGCTGGGATTCAAACCTGGGTCTTCTGCAAGAACAACCAGTGTTCTTAACCACTGAGCCATCTCTCCAGCCCCAGGAAGCTTATATTTTGCCATACTTTCAGGGTCTCTGAATTTTTTTGGTAACTATAAGTAGTAGACATTTTAAAAATTGGTGTGTGTGTGTGTGTGTGTGCTCATGTATGTGTAGGTGTACATGTGTGTGCACAGGTGTGTGGAAGCCAGAGACCTCAAGAGCCATCCACCTTGTTCTTCTGATACAGGGTCTTTTATTAGGACCTAAGGCTCACCAATTAGGCTAAACTGGTTGCCAGTGAGTCCCAGGGATCCCTTGTTTCTGCCTCCCCAGGGTCAGTATTGTAAATGTATATGACTACACTCAGCTTTTTTTTTTTTTTTTTTTGGTCTTTTTGAGTCAGGGTTTCCCTGTAGCCCCAGCTGGCCTGGAACTCACTATGTAGACCAGGCTAGCCTCGAACTCACAGAGATCCACCTGCCTCTGCCTCCCAACTGCTGGGATTAAAGGTGTGTGCCACCACACCCAGCATACACTCAGCTTTTTAATGTGGATATTGAAGCTTGAACCCAGGTCCTCATGCTTGCATAGCAAGCACTTTACCGGCTAAGCTATCTCACCATCCCCTAAAAAATATTTTAAAGTCTGGCACATTTCACCCCTCAACATATAAATTATTTTTAGTTCTTTTTAGATAAATCAACTAGCAGGGCTGGAGAGATGGCTCAGCAGTTAAGAGCACTGACTGCTCTTGCAGAGAACCTGGGTTCGATTCCCAGCACCCACATGGCGGCTACAAACTGTCCTTAACTCCAGTTCCAGGGGAATCCGATGACCTCTTCTGATCGCGGCATTGCACGACACGGGTGTGCTCACATACATGCAGGCAATACACTCATACATATAAAAATAAAAAATAAAATATTTAGGCTGGGCGTGGTGGTGCATGCCTTTAATCTCAGCACTTAGAAGGCAGAGGCAGGCGGATCTCTGTGAGTTCAAGGCCAGCCTGGTCTACATAGTGAGTTCCAGGGCAGCTGGGGCTACAGGGAGACCCTGTCTCAAAAAGACCAAAGAAAATAAAAAATAAAATAAAATAAAATAAATAAATAAAATAAAATATTTTTTTTTTTTTAAAAAGGGTCTTACTTCATAGCCCAGAAAAGCTTCAAACTCTTCGTCCTCTTGCCTCAGCCTCTTCCGTGCTGAGATTAGAGGTGTGGGCTGTATTTGAAACTCCTTAAAAGTAGTCTCATTTATCTGTCCATCTTCTTGGCCCCAAGCTTGGTGGCCTCCATGGAGGGAACCAGCACCTACATTTGGGATCTACTTCTCACACTGGTCTGGTCTGCCCTGCCTGGGCACCTATGTGGTTATGTCCTGGGACCCTTTCCTGCTCTTCCTCCTCTGCCATGTTAGCGTTGACCTGAGTGATCTCTGACAGACACCCTGGAAGCTCCCGGTATTCTTGCATTCTGGCAGCCAGCTGCCTGCAAACAGCTTTCCCTCCATGCTCAACTCTCATGGGCTTTGGAGGAGGCCTGACAGGCATGGCATTCCTTCTCATTTGTTTATTCTTGGATCCTCTTGGAGCTATGTCGCCTTCTCTGCCAGTCCCTACAAGGAGTCAAGCTTTGTTCTCCCTAAGTCAAGGACAGGGAATCTAAGGCTGCAACCTGCAGTTCGAAGGGGCTTAGCCTTGAACCTAGGACCCTGGCCTGTCGCTTCTTGCTCCTCCCCTACGGCTGAGGCCTGGCCATCCTGCAGCTTCCTTTCTCGGAAGTTGCTAAGGACAAGGGAGCTGGGAGCAAGCAGCCTCAGCCGACATCAGGGCGTTCCAAGCAGGCGTCTGGGTGGTTCTTTAGAAGCCCTGCTCACATGGGAGAGGAGGGCTTAGGAGGGCTCAGGCTTCCTGTCACCTTGTGGGGTAAGGCCACACCTGTGGGGCAGATGAGGTCAAAGCTGGGGCCTGAGGCAGTGGTATAGGGGCCAAGGAACTCAGTTTGTCCTGGGAGCTTGGGGTGGAACCACAGTGTTTATGTCTAGTTTGAAGGTTGCTGAAGGCTGTGATGTGCCCACAGGGGCAGGATTTCTGAGGCTTTCATTCTGGGTGAGATTAGATGCTCTAGTTTAGGAAGGTAACTTGATATGTGTAGGTTCTCAACACTGAGTAAACTACTTAAGCCTGACTGCAGTTGCTTCCAAAGAAGGTGGAAATGGGTGGTATCCAGGCTTCCAAGGAGAGCCCTCAAACTCAGCCAAGAGCTGTGTGGAGGGTCCAGCTCTGGGCATAAGTATTGATGGTCCCTCGGGTCCATTTTCTCCTCGTTTCTTTTGGTTTGGCCCTAAATTAATGGTAACCACCCTCTGAGAAAGGCAGTGAGGTCACTGAGAAGAGGGGCCCCCAAATCCAGGCCGGAACTGGGATGTACGATGTTTACTTTCTCCTTTTTTTCAGCCATTGGCAAGGTACCGTGAGACACCTTTCCTTTTCCCCTGCCTTTAGGGCACTGAGAACTATTCCCAAGTGCTGTCCCTTATTACTTTGGACTCTTCTGAAATCTGGCTCCTAACACAGAACCAGTGAGTAGAGGGAGAAGAAGAGCTTTATCTAGAAAGTGCTTTTGGATGCAGCCCCTTTGCCAGTGTGCGTGCACACACACACACATGCATGTTGCTCTTCAGAGTAGAGTTTATGTCATAGGTCACCACTGCAAAATACCGCTTCCGGTCCTCATAACAAACCACAAGGCCCAAGGTTTCTCCTATCCAGAGAGCGCATTGTGTCTAGATCTGTGGTTACCAGGGGCATGAAGCACAGTGGATCTTACTGCTCCCAAGTGTGAAGGCTAACTGTCCAGCCCTCAGGCAGGGTCAGAGGGGAGTTGGGAGAGAATTCTAGGAGGCAGGGGACTCTGGGCCTGGCAGGGTCTCTGGGAGGACACTCAGAAACCTCTCAGAGGACTGGGTCGCACAGAAGAAAGACAGAGTGGGGATTATTCCTGGAGAGATGAGTCTGCCTCTTGAATAGGTGTTCCTTGGGGACCACAAACCTTGAGAAATATTCATGACGTAGGTAGGGAGTCAAGAGCGAGTCATTGTGTATGATTCCCCAATTACTAAAAGGGATGGGTATTAGTGCTGATGGGAATTACTGTTAAACAGTACCACAGATACCATGCAGGACACACAGTGATTGTATGAGCAGTGAAGAGAGGTGGTGAGAATGAGCCCCACATTGGCCTGCGTTTGGGTAGACCTCAAAAAGATGGACTGAATTAATAAGTAGATGGCGTGTTCCACAGAACTGTCAACCTGGGCCTGGGGTACTAATGTCTGAGGACTGTTGGTGGGATCCCTTTTATCTGGAGCTACCCCCCTAAGCACAGGCCCAGAAAAGTAACTGTCACTCACCCTTCAGAATAGATTTGTCCTGAAGAGCTTCTTTGTATCCATCAAATACCACCTGCAGAAGGCCTCAGCTTCCCTGACCCTTCAGGGAGAGCCTCCTGTCCCTTGACCCTGAGCTGGGATGGCAGGAGGGGAAAAGTGCCCACGGTAGACAGGTGGCCTTGGCACTCAGTTCTACTTCCCCCTCCCAGCCTGCCGTGTTGTTCTCTGGGGTCTTTCTCTTGTCAACCAGCCCAAAGTCCTACTGTAGTTTTGTGGCTTCATAATGGGACAGGAGTGCCAGACCTAGGCTTAGGAGCCGGGAAAAGGAGGCCATTTCCAAAAGAAAGACTTCCAGCCCAGGTTATCTCAGAAAGAGGCATGAGGCTGAATGAGTTTCTTTTAGATAGCAGAGATGTTAGGATACAGAATGGGGCAGTTGGAGGGGAGAGGTCCTCACTCTGGGATCCTTGAGATGTGCATCCCCCCGCCACTTTACAACTCCCACCAGATCTAGCCCAGCTTACAGCCACAAGTAAGGCCCTTCCTGCTGTGGAGACTGGTTGTTACTGCCTGGAAGGCCTCTGGCCTCCAGGCCTGCTCTCCCCAGCTCTCTCCTGACCTCCATAGCCACATGCTCCCACCCCTGGCCCCACCTCACCTCCTAGCCTGATTTTTTTCCCTCAGGCTATCAGGAGGTGCTGTGCCACCTAGGGAAGGAGGTATCTGACCACACCAGGGAGTGCTGAGGGCATTGTTGGGTGAGCCAGGGCTTCCTTGGGTTCTTGACTGGGGAAGAAGGAGCTGGGAATCCCACTCAGCTGGCCTGGAGTGGAAGGGCATCTACTTGGTGTAACCTCCTTTCACCCCTTACCCCTCACCGGCCTGTCTCTGCTGCCCCTTCACTCCATCTCTTTCCTTCCTACAGATGAAACCCAGGTGAGCCCGGGTGTCCACTGCCCCACTCCCCCTGGCACAGGTAAGGAAAGACAGTGGTCAGGGGGAGGATGAGGGATGGAAACAACCTAAGAACGGGTTTGGAGAAGTAGGGATCTGTCTGTGCCAGAGAGTTGGGAGGTTGGGGTTCTAGAAGAGCAGGAACAAGAGTTGGATCCAGGCTGGGAAGCATGACAGAAAAAGGAAAGCCAGGATGCCGTGCTTGGTGTAATAAAACAGGAAGGAAGGTAGGAAGCTAGTGTTTATTTATGCTCAGACCCCTACTCCAGACACTGGGTCAGGTGAGTTCTTGTTCTCCAGTCATTCAGCCCTCACCGGGGCCTTGCAGAGTGCAAAGATGTCTCCCCTTGGAGACGTGACTTTGACCTTCTTCTGTACTGTTAGTCCCCCTGGGGAAGGACTGAAGTGGACTTCTTGTTGCTGTTTATATCTAGAACATACCCACAAGGCTAGGTCCAGATTGGTTTTCTCCTTCCTTAACCCTAATGGATACCCACTGAGGGCCTACTGAGTGGGTAATGATTCCATGAAGCAGGAAGAACTGGAAGGCTGGGAGTCTTTGCCGTAGTCCCAGTTGTCCAAAAGCTTGGGAAGAGAGGACACACAAAAGAAGGGAAAAATGGTAGAGTGCACTATGTGGTGTGACAGATGTTAAAGGAGGGAGACAATTTATGAGTTCATCCCTTCATTCAAGAGTCATTAATGAACCTCAACTCTGTACCAAGCACCTTCCTAGGCACTGAGGAGGGATACCAAGATTTTCCCAAAGAATGTGTTTATTGAGTGTCTAGTCTTGTCTTATGCTAGGTAGTATTCTAAGTCCTGAAATAATGAGCAACGAGCTCCAGCCTTTGGAGCTTGACCCAGGCATGGTACTGCCTTTAGGGTGCTTACCATGTAGTGAGAGCCAACATGAAGTCCAAGAGGTAGGGGTGCTGCATCCTGGCCTGGGTCCGGGGAAGGGAAGATGCTAGCTGGACTTTGAGCAGTAGGCAGAGTTTGGAAAAGTAGAATGTAGGGGAAGGACACCATTGGCAGAGGACATTGTGAGCGAAAGCCCAGAGAAGAAAAGGCATTGGGTTTGTTATGGGATGAAAAGCTGAGCTGATGGGTTTGTTCAGATGGAGGAGACCAAGTTGAGGTGGCTGTTCACGGGGAAATGCCTGAAGGCTTCCCCAGGGAGCTTTCCCTACTCCTGTATCCAGTGGAAACACCCCCGCCCCTCGGCCAACCCATGCTAAATCACTCAGGCATTCCCAGGGTTCTGAGCAGAGCCCCTTCCTGTGTTCCCAGGCCTTCTGTACTGGGGGTAGTGATACTGAGCGTGAGGGATGGGGCTCTATTAGGGGGCTGCTTCTAATTGGTGTGGCTGAAGTGATAGGCCTGAGGTCTGGTACCTCACCTTGGGTTCCCCTAAACCATCATCATCAAGAGAGTTGCCTCAGGACGCTAGTAGACCAGAACTATGGAAGACGGAGACCTTTTGTGGGTCAGGAATTTGTTGCCCCTGGAGGCCCATAGGCAACCAGAATGAGACTCTAGATTCTTTGGGTAGCCACATGAACAAGGGTAAAGGCACCAGAGTTAGCACTGTTTACTGCAGGCCGCATCTGGATACTTAGCCATCTTCTCCAATCTCTTAATGACTAGAGGTTTGAGCCAGGTGTGGTGGGAGCTGGGCGTTATGGCATGGGCCTTTAATTCCCAGCACTCAGGAGGCAGAGGCAGGTGGATCTTGGTGAGATCAGGGCCAGCTTGGTCTACAGAGCGAGTCCCAGGCCACCTGGGGCTACAGGGAGACCCTGTCTCAGAAAAACCTAAATAAATAAATAAATAAATAAAGTAAGTAAGTAAGTAAGTAAGTAAGTAAGTAAATAAAAGTAACTAGAAGGGCATAGTAGGCCTTGCTGGACTCATTTCTCATGTCCGCTCACAGTCGGTGTTGGAGTGATACCCTTAGTGTCAACGTCCCTCAGGTTCTTCCCTTGCCCAGTGAGGTGACTTCCTGAACATTGGTGGGAAAATGGAGTACTGGCCTTAGTGGGACTGGAATCCACATTCTCTGTGCCCCTGGCTAGATGATCCTTGGGGTCTTTCCTCATCTGAGAGGCGAGGACAGTAATAACTAGCTCCAGGGCAGGTGGCATGGACGCAGAACAGGTTTTGTTGACTTGTGCTCATACTCTGCCCGTGGCAACTATGCATTTCCCGACTTCCCACTGGTGCTTTGCCTGGAACCTTTTCTTCCATTCCCCATCAGGCCTAGACCCCAAGAACAGCTGTGGCTGTTCCATGGGGAGGAACACCTGAAGAAGGCCTCTGTGAGGATATTCCCCACTCTCGTACCCTCATCGCTTCCTGCTTCCCTTTTCCCAGGATAGCCGCCCCCTCCCCCTGCATCAACCCCACCTCCCAGCATCTCAGCATCTGGCTGCTTAGCCCAGCCTGGCCAGCTGGCTGTGCTGGCACAGCCCCTGGTCTGCTGGCGAGCTATAATTAGCCCCTGCACCCACGGCTTTGGCAGGGTGCTCCTGGCGTGGGTGCAGAGGACACTGGAGAAGAAGCAGCTGAGCCTGCTGTCCTTGCCAGACTAGGCCCACAGCTGGCTCAGATGGGAACCAGGAGCATGCTCCACACACTTGTGGGCCTGGTGAACTGAGGAACCTTCTGTCCTGAAAACAGGGCTCAGGGCTGGTTGGGGGCTCCCAGCATTACTTCTGGATCCCAGGATCAGAATGGTATAGAACATGAGAGGATGGCAGCTAAGGGCTGTGAGACCCTTACAGTTGGAGGCTGGGCAGAGTGGCCCTGATTTGCCTTCTTGATCTCCTGAGACTTGCTTACCTTCTCATTCCTGGGAGAAGAAGGGAAAGGGGCTGTGGAGCCTAGAACTGCATCATCATGTCACTAAACCCTGTAGCCCTTAGCCCCAAGCCTAGGGAAAAGCATGCGAAAAAGAAGACACCGTGCTCACGGTCCAGTGGCCCAGTTCAAGCCACCAGCCATTGGGAAGGAACCTGTCTGTAGTCAGTAGCGCTCATGTCTTACAGGTAGAATGGAATCCACAGAACATTCTTTTACAAGCTGGATGACCAGGCTTACTGAGGCAAAGACCCCCGAGGGTATTTTGCTGATATTGAGTCAGCCCCAGGACATTCATTAGTCTGTGACCAAGTTCCTGCAGACCAGTCTTTTACCTGACTCTTCTGTATGTCCCCAGGCCGTCCTGCCCTCCGGCCAGACACGCCAGGCTCTCAACCCCAGCCCATGGACTTGCGAGTGGGCCAGCGGCCCACAGTGGAAGCCCCACCAGAGCCCACACTGCTGGCTCTACAGCACCCCCAGCGCCTGCACCGACATCTCTTCCTAGCAAGCCTACCACAGCAACAGCGCTCAGCCGAGCCCATGAGGGTAAAGACAGCACTCTTACCCATATACCCAACCTTCCTCTTTCCCTACAACCTCCTCATCTCCCCAGCAGCCTCCCCAGACCTTAGCTCAGGCCTTTACTCCTGCTCCTCCTGAGCTGCCAGCTCTGTTCACAGCTCTCAATGGACCCACCAATGCCAGAGCTGCAGGGGGGACAGCAGGAGCAAGAGCTGCGGCAACTCCTCAATAAAGACAAGAGCAAGCGGAGTAAGGATGGGGTCTGCTTCTCCTGGCTCTGCCTGGCTGCCCACGGTCTACCATGGGCCTGGGAGGGGTGACTGGGAGGATCACCATCTGTCCTGATGCCCTCAAACAGCCTGGGTCTGCTGTGAATAGAGGTGGGTGTGGATGGGCTAGAGGCTTCACAGGGGAGGTGGGGCCTTGCACGTGGCCTCTTGCCTTGAGCAGTCCTTGGGACATAATGTACTGTAAGTGCGGACTGGAAAGTGGGTAGAGGATGTGCCCAGGAGGCTACCTGTCACCTGTCCTCCACCCACTGAGTTCTCTTGCCTCCGTAGGTGCCGTAGCCAGCAGTGTGGTGAAGCAGAAGCTGGCTGAGGTGATCCTGAAGAAGCAGCAGGCAGCTCTGGAGAGAACAGTCCACCCTAGTAGCCCCAGCATTCCCTACAGGTAGTTCACTGGCCCTCTTGTCCTCGGGTCCTTGCTGTGCCCCTCTTTCCTACATACGAACCTGTGGATGCATATGGCCCTCTTTATTCCCCAGTACTATCACCTGGTCCTTACTCCTGGCCTAAGTGTAATGCCCAAGTCCCTATGAGCCTGCCCTCCTCTTCCCTTAGTTTTCCTCCCCATCTTACCTGAGGCCCTTCACACACACAGAAGTCCTAGTTCCTAGAACAGGCTCCTACCACAGGAGACACTTGGGTCCCCAGTGGGTCCCAGGCCCTAAGACCCTGGCTTCCTTGCCTGGAGCAGAACTTTTGCATTCGCTAGACTGGCTCACTACTGCCACCTGGAGACAGACTCTGTTCCTGCTGGCGCCACACTGCCCAGCCCTGCTGGTACCTGCTTCCGTGGTGGGTGCACTCTGGAAGGCACCTGCAAGGTTTCAGGGCCCTATGGGCATTCTGTGCTTCAGAATCTGCCTTGACACCCACTTTACAGAACTCTTGAGCCCTTGGACACCGAGGGTGCCGCCCGCACCATGCTCAGCAGCTTTCTGCCTCCTATTCCAAGCCTGCCCACTGAACCCCCGGAACACTTTCCCCTGCGTAAGACAGGTGAGTTGGCAGATAGTCAGAGACTTTTAGGGGGATTAGGTTAGGTGAAGGGTCTTGGGTTTGGGTTGAAGGAGGGCTGGGACAGTCAGCATACTGGTTTTCTCTCTGGCCATGCCCTTTCTCACTTTAACCCATAGAGGTGACTGGGAGGGAGGTTAAGGACAGAGAATAGAAGGGTGGTTGGCATGGGGCTGAGTGACTTTAGTGTTCCTACAGTGTCTGAGCCCAACCTGAAGCTGCGCTACAAGCCCAAGAAGTCCCTGGAGCGGCGCAAGAACCCCCTGCTCCGAAAGGAGAGCGCCCCACCCAGCCTCCGTAGGCGGCCTGCAGAGACCCTCGGAGGTGAGGGCCAGCAGGGCTGTGGGGTTACCTTGCCAATCCCTGGCTAGTGTCGTCCCTTTGGGCCAAGTTCCACCCAGATGGGAGTTACCACCTGGGGCCACTGAGTGTTGTGCAGATTGTATCCCACATACCTGTCTGCCAGAGGGAGAGCAGAGACTAAAACCCTTGGGTTGGCTAAACTGACGTTTGCCTGGAAAAGGGGAGCACTGTGAAAAAGCCTGACCAGAGATGCTGTAGGCTAGCGATGGCCTGTGGGAAGAAAGGAGGAAAGGGAGTCCAGGAAGGGAAAGAGCTATGCCTGGGAATCCTGCCCAGGGGGCCTGGCTGTGCCACCTGCCCACCTCTGACTCCTGACTCCGCTTCCCTCTCTCCCCACCCTCAGATTCCTCCCCCAGCAGTAGCAGCACACCTGCGTCAGGGTGCAGCTCCCCTAATGACAGCGAACATGGCCCCAACCCTGCCCTGGGCTCCGAGGTAAGGCCTTGTTGGGACTGGGCTCTCCTGGGGCAATTCTGAGGCTCAGCCTTCCTCCAGCAAGTAGCCTGGCCTGGCCTGAGGCTTTAGGGTCTGGGCAGCCCCCACCAGGGCCTCTTGGGTGTTCTGGGGACAGTGTGCCAAGGGTAGAGTTCTGGGACTGGTGACCCGTCGCCCTGCTCCCCATGGCAGGCGCTCTTGGGCCAGCGGCTGCGGCTGCAGGAAACTTCTCTGGCCCCGTTCGCCTTGCCGACAGTATCCTTGCTGCCCGCAATCACACTGGGGCTGCCCGCCCCTGCCAGGGTGAGTGGCTGGGGTTCCCCACCCCCACTCCAAGCTCCTCTAGCCTCTTTCCTGCCCCTGTCCTATTGCCTAAACTTCATTGTCCTCTGTCACAATCATCTCCCCCTGACTTCTCACTTCTCCTTCAGGCTGATGGTGACCGTAGGACCCATTCAACTTTGGGCCCTCGGGGTCCAGTTCTGGGGAGTCCCCATGCTCCCCTCTTCATGCACCATGGTCTGGAGCCTGAGTCTGGGGGCACCTTGCCCTCACGTCTGCAACCCATTCTCCTGCTGGATCCCTCGGTCTCTCATGCCCCCCTGTGGACTGGTGAGTCGTCCTGCTCCACAGCCCATACCACCATGGCCTGGATTTTTGTCTCCTGCCAAGCCCTACCACTTCCCATGCCTACCATGTTCCTTCCTTATACCCATCCCATTCTTTCCAGTGCCCGGGCTTGGACCCTTGCCCTTCCACTTTGCCCAGCCCTTACTGACCACAGAGCGCCTCTCCGGGTCAGGCCTCCACCGGCCACTGAACCGGACCCGTTCAGAGCCCTTACCCCCCAGTGCCACTGCCTCCCCTCTGCTGGGCCCCCTGCAGCCCCGCCAGGACCGGCTCAAACCTCATGTCCAATTAATCAAGGTAAGGGGAACTGGGTGGGAGAAATGCTAAAGGGGTGCTTAATTGAGCCTGTGGGGAATGAAAGAAGGGGGTCTTAGGAAGATGAAAGATCTGGAGGGCTGCTGGAGTCCTAGCAAGATGAGTGTGGCCTAACCCAACCCATAGCCCCCACCCGTCCGTCTCTATCCCACTTCTCAGCCAGCCTTCACTCAATCCCAGAGGCCAGCCAAGCCGAGTGAAAAGCCCCGACTGCGACAGATACCTTCAGCTGAGGACCTAGAGACAGATGGTGGGGGAGCAGGGCCTGTGGTGAATGATAGCCTGGAACACAGGGAGTCAAGCCATGGGCAGCCCGAAGTCCGTGGCCCTGTTTCTCTGCAGCAGCACCAGCAGGTATGGCTGTGCCTCAGAGCCCTGGAGAAAGCAGTCAGACCTGTGGCTTGACATAGGATTGGGAAGGGAGGGAGACGTGATATCAATACAGGGGTCGGGGGAGCTGTAAGACCTACAGATCCTTAGGTATCAGGTTGCATATGCACATACACGCACCCACACACACACATACGCACACATGCTCACACATACTCACACATATGAAATACTCAAGCAGCCTGCTACCTCAAAGTGTAACCCTGTTCTTCCCAGCTTCTGGGTCTTTCACAGAGTCACACATTGTCCTTGCATTTCTCCCTGTGACCCATCATCTTGTATTCAAAGGTGTGTGTAAGGGGTAAGATTCTTCTCAGGGCTCTGAGGGAAGGAACTTTTCCCGGTCTGCTCAAATTTCCTTTTTCTAGGGACAACAGTCCCATTGAATAGGACCCATCCTAATTGCATCAGTGTAACTTGCTTACCCCTGCACAGATGCTGTCTTTCTGAGGTACCGGGGGTTAAGACTAAAGCATCTGTGTTTGGGAGACACAATTCCATATGTATCACTTGGTAACAGTCCACACACATATAGTGACTTGCGCAGGTCCCTTTGTTCTTGGTCAGTAGCACAGTCCTTGGAGAAGTGATCCTAGTCAGAATGGACTCAGGGGCCTAGGAGCTCTTATGGAACGGAGTGGTCAGTCTAGGTGCAGGTCTTAAAGTGAGCTGCCAGGGAGCAAAGAGCTCAGAGGGAGGCCAGACCCCACGAGGGAAGCAAAACTGCGTACATCTCCGAATTTCTCTAGAAAAGGGGTCTGTCTGGAAGTTCCCTAGACCTTGGGCAGGAGCAGATGAACCACATCTGAGACACTGGAGATGTGTGACCGTGTTTCCCTCAGGTGCTGCTCTGGGAACAGCAGCGTCTGGCTGGGCGGCTCCCCCAGGGAAGTGCCGGAGACTCTGTGCTGCCTCCTCTGGCCCAGGTCGGACACCGGCCCCTGTCCAGGACCCAGTCTTCCCCAGCAGCACCTGCCTCCCTGCTGACCCCAGAGCCCACCTGCCAGAAGCGAGTCCTCAGCAGCTCAGAGACCCCTGCCACAGGTAAGACCGGAGCGGGACTTTCATAAAGGCAGGAGAAAGGGGCAGGGGGTGTGAGTCCAGGTCAGTGTGCTGGCTCTCAGGACAGCTTCAGAGGCCACAGAACACTGCCTTGACCTTGTTGGATCCCCATGGTGCCCATGAAGCAGTTGAGGTCATCATGACTTACGAATCCTAGTGTGCCAGTGACTAGCTTATGATCATATCACAAACTGGCAGTCAGGCCAGGGTAGGAATTCAAATCTACCTTTATTACGGCCAGCCCTTTAAAAACAAACAAACAAACAAAAAAGGCATTAGGGGCTGGAGAGAGGATTCAGTGGTTAAGAGCACTGACTGTTCTTCCAGGGGACCCAGGTTTGGTTCCCAGTACCCATATGGTGACTATAAGCATCCGTAACTCCAGTTTCAGGGGCTCTGACACCTCTTCTGGCCTCTATGGGCGTTGCACATATGTGGTGCGCTTATATACATGCAGCATATTGAGTTCTTTTTTTTTTTAAGTAGGACTGGGAAATTAAACCTAGATTTCTGCTTACACTGGATAAGCACTCTGTTGCTGAGTTGCTCCCTCGGTCCTGTACTTGACTTTATTAGCCAGCATATTATAAAAACTTCTTGAATCAGGGCTCAAGAGATGGCTCCGCGGTTAAGAGCACTGGGTTTGATTCCCAGCACCCACATGGCGGCTAAAAGCCATTCATAACTCCAGTTCCAGGGACTATGACGCCCTCTTCTGAACTCCTCAGGCATTGCACAGCACAGGTGCACCTACCCACATGCAGGCAATATTCATACACATAAAATAAAAAACAATAAATAAAATATTTTTTAAAAACCTTCTTGAGCTGGATGTGGTGGTGCACGCCTTTAACCCCAGCACTCGGGAGGCAGAGGCAGGCAGATCTCTATGAGTTCAAGGCCAGCCTGGTCTACATAGCGAGTTCCAGGACGGGCTGTAAAATTTGCTGCTTTTGCTGCCTTTAATTTTAGTTGGCTGTGCCTGGTGGCACCCACCTTTAATCCCATGTTAGGAAGGCAGAGGCAGGCAGATCTCTGTGAGTTTGAAGCCAGCCTGATCTACATAACGAGTTCCAGGCCAGCTGGGACTACAGGGAGACCCTTTCTCAAAAAGACAAAAAAAAAAAAAAACCTTCTTGAGTCTTTAAAAATTGGGGTGTTCATATTTTAGCATAGTTTTTATTTTATTTATTTTTGGCTTTTGGAGGCTTTTGGAGACAGGATCTCACTCTGTAGCCCAAGCTAGACTAGACTCTGTGTTTACCATGTAGTGCAGGCTGGTTTGGAACTTGTACCAATCCTCCTGCCATAACCTACCAAGTGTTAGGATTACAGGTATGAGTGTCCATGCCCAGCTCAGTTTTAATTTTATTTCTTATTAATTGGGAAGTTGGATTTTTCCCCATTTTTAAATAATGTCTGGGATTCTCCAGTGTCCCTCTTAAGGAGTAGCATTCCTGAGTCAAATGACCTGAGCATTTTGAAAGTCCCAGGTGCTCTGAGATGAGCAGACACTGACCCTCCCACCAGCAGTGTGAACAGGGCCTGCCTTTGGAGGCTTCCCCTGGGGGCTGCTGAAATGCAGTTCCTTAGTACCTCAGAGGGTTGCTTGTAGACTCTAGCTCCACCCCATCAAGGTACCAAAATCCACAGATGCTCCCTCATGTAAAATGGCATAGCATTTGCATATAACCAATGCATATCCTCCCACATATTTAAATCACATCTATTTTGCTTTTAATGCCTAATACAACATAAATGCTATGTTGTATGTAAATGACAATATGTAAATAGTTGTCATGCTATTTACATATTGTTCACAAGGTAAAATAGTTTCTGAGTATTTTCCATGTGCACTTGGGAGCCTAACTAAGCCCAACTGACTGCATTTGTCTTGCCATATGGCCAGTGATAAGGTAGAATGTCACCTCCCCGTCTTGAGGCTTCCCCAGGCTGTTTCTCCTCTCACTCTGTGTTGGGAGCCTCAGGGTGGTGACTCCCAGAGGGAGGTGCTCTGTCTTAAGCCTCTCTGAGTGAAGGATCTGAGCCCTCAAGTGCACAGGAGGTGTGCTGAGCCATGTGAGCAGTAAAGGGTGCTGAGAAGGCAGGGCCAGGCAGAGCAGTGTGGGTTGACACTGTGCTGGTGTGTGCATTAGAACGTCTCAGGCCACTTGGGGGTGCATCTAGTTATGTGCCTAGGGAGGTACAGGCCTGGGTCTCCACAGGGCTAGAAGGGGAATGCAGGCATGTGTGGCAGCAAGGTATGTATGTGCACATGCCTGGCTCAAGGTGGGTCTGTGGGTACAGTCTGTTCCCCATCTGTACCCATGGTGGGGGTCTCCCTGGGGTACCAGCCCTGACCACTGCGCCCTGCAGGGCTGGTCTATGACTCAGTGATGCTGAAGCACCAATGTTCCTGTGGAGACAACAGCAAGCACCCTGAGCACGCAGGCCGTATCCAGAGCATCTGGTCCCGACTGCAGGAACGGGGTCTCCGGAGCCAGTGTGAGGTGAGGAGACAGGGCCACGCCAGGGAAGGCATGAGTGTCCCTAGGGCCAACGAGGGATGAGAGAGTGGGTAGTCTGGTGGTGACAGAGGGCAGGGTTGAGCAAAGCTTAGGAACTCTGTGGGCCTTTCCTCAGTGTCTCCGGGGCCGAAAGGCCTCCCTAGAGGAGCTGCAGTCAGTCCACTCTGAAAGGCATGTGCTTCTCTACGGTACCAACCCACTCAGCCGCCTCAAACTGGACAATGGGAAGCTGACAGGTAGGGGCGGGGACAGATATGTCTGGCCCTGAATCCCCCTGGACTTGCCCATCTCACCCGCATCTGTGCTCTTTGCCTTGGCTGTGCCCACTCGACCCCTCCAGCTTCCTGGACAGCCCCATGCTGACCCCTCCAGCTTCCTGGATAGCCCCATGCCCATTTGCTGCCCTGGTTCCCCTACTGCCCACTTCCCTGTCTCCCCGTACTGTCTCTCCCTCCACACCCACTCTTTTCAGGGCCTCCATGTCCCTTACTCACATGGCCTGGGCCTCTCCCCACAGGACTCCTGGCACAGCGGATGTTTGTGATGCTCCCCTGTGGTGGGGTTGGGGTAAGTGTGCCCAGAGATCTCAAGTGGGCATTGCCAAGGGCTTTCAGCTCTCTTCCCTTAAGTTCTCTAGGCCCACCACCGCCACCACCACCACCTGCCTGTTCTTGTGGTTCTGCCAAATTGCGTAGGCCAGGGACTTTCCCATTATACCCTTATGCTGGCTGGAAGCTTCCTTGTAGACAGGTGTATTCTGGGCCCATTAATGTCACTGAGTGTGGAGCCCAATGCCTTGCAGTTGGTAGACGTTGAGTGAAACTCTGGGCAGGGCCATGTTGGGCCTTGAGCCATGTCCCTGGCTAAGACCCCAGTGGTCAGGGATTGGCCGTTTTACACTGGCCCCCAGAAGCCGGCTGCTCTGTCTACTAAGGACTGGGCCTTGCTCAGGTGCTCTAGGTAGTCCTTACTTGATCCTCAGACCTCGGACTGTCTGACGTTGGACTATGTGGTGCTTCCCACATACCCTGCCTAAGACATAACCCTCCAGCCCTCCAGTTTTGCTCACCCTCACTTACTGGGGGTCTTCCTGCCACCTCTGGCATGGCCCTCCCTGCCTCAAAAGGTCCCTGCCATGGTGCCAGGCAAGGTGCGTGGAGATGGGGTGGAGACCAAGTTCAGGAGGGCAAGTGGGAGCTATCATGGGGGCTGTTGGGGAGCCAGTCAGTGCCCTGTTCACAACTCCCCATTTCTTGCCACTTTCTGGTTTTTCCAACTGTTGTTGCTTCTGTTTTCTCCTCCCTCCTCTCCCTCTCTGTCCTTCTTTCTCTCTCTCTCTCCAGCCTCTTGCGACTCTCTCTGCCTTCCTCGCCTCTCTCGGTCTGCCTCGCCCTCCCCATCTCCCCATCATGCCCCCCGGCCCCTCCCTAGCCTTGAGGCCCAGGGACTGGGTTTGGGGGGCCTCCCAGCCTGGGCTAGGGGCCCTGAGTGGAAGACAGTGGTGCAGACGGCCCCTCCAGCTCCGACCATCCCGCAGGGCCTGAGCAGAGTCAGCTGGGGCTTAAAACCCCTCCCGGCCCAAACCCCAATCCCGCCCAGGTAACGCCATGCCCCCTCCCCTGACTGGGGAGGCAGAGTGCTGGCCACACATGGGCTGGTGCTGGCACTTCCGCTGGGAAGAAGTCCTGCTGGGACTGGGGGACACAGGAGGCCTTGCCTTTGGGCGGTGGGGCACTGGGGAGGCAGCACTGTCTGCCCAGCTCCCTGCCCCTGGGGTCCTGGCCGTCGGGTGGGTACTGCCTCATTGGGCCCTGGCTCCTGTCTGAAGCCTTGGATGATGCAGTCCCTGACCCTGGCCCCCACAGGTGGATACTGACACCATCTGGAACGAGCTACATTCCTCCAACGCAGCCCGCTGGGCCGCAGGCAGTGTCACTGATCTTGCCTTCAAAGTGGCTTCCCGTGAGCTAAAGGTAGGAAGTTGAGATTGAAGGCCAGCCATCTACAAAGGACGTGCTGAGGTTAGGGTAGTCAATCCAGACCCCCAAGTCCCAGACCTCTCATTCCTTGTGGATTTGGGAAGGGACATCACGGACTCTGGGAACCATGGTGACACCTGACCCCTAAGCTCATGTCACTTGGGTAGTCAAGCCACTAGGCCCTGGGCCCTTGGTGCATTAGAGACATAGAGTCCTGACCATCCAGGATCATCGGAGACCTGCTTCGTAGCTATAGGTGCATCTCAACTCTCTCTGGGCACCTTATGCACAGGCCCTCTGGCTCCTTCTAGAGCTGGGGTCCTGCACATCAGTTTGAGGTCATGCCCATTACTCTGGGATGGGCCCCTTGCAGGAATTTGCCTGAGGCCCATGGCCCCATTGTCTGGGAACTGTGTAGCCCAAGGCAGATGCTGTATCCCAGTATAAGAGGGCCTTGGCAGCACTTGGCAATCAGGAGCTCAGCGCTGATTTTAAATAACTGCCGTTTACAACCAGGTAACTTGGGACAAGTTGCTTAACACACCTAGGCTTGCTTGGATTTCTTATCTGTAAAGTGGAAGTGATGATAATATTCATGCTATGAAGATATTATAAGGATGAAACGCAGTGTACATGAAGTATTCAGCATAGAGCCAGGCATGTGGTTTTATACAATAGTTAATAGTTGTGTTGCCAAATAATTATAGCCAGGATGTATCAGGACAGAGTTCTGTGTTCAAGTCCAGCCTAAATGCCAGACAATAGCATAGTTGCCGAGGGCTGTGTACTTCAGCTCCAGGCTGGACAGCTGTTGCCTCGTATTCCTTATCAGAGAAGGAGGTTGGGATAGGAAGCAGGCTTAGGCAGATGTGAATCGAGGCCTTGCTGTTTGGGTGATAAGTGCTCTTTCCCTTTTCAGAATGGTTTTGCTGTGGTGCGGCCCCCAGGACATCATGCAGATCATTCTACAGCCATGTAAGGCACTGGGGAGGCCTGTCTGGGGTGAGGTGGGGGTGGGCCCCTCCAGCCTTCCTACAGGCTGGGAAATCTTCTAGGGTGGGAGAGGGAGGGGATGGGCTGGCAGGAAGGACCCTTTCTCCTTCTCCCAGGGGCTTCTGCTTCTTCAACTCAGTGGCCATCGCCTGCCGACAGCTGCAACAACAAGGCCAGGCCAGCAAGATCCTCATTGTGGACTGGGTAGGTCCTGGTTCCCAGAGCCTTCCTGCAGATCCCAGGGCCTTCCTACAGGTCCCAGGGCCTGCAGATCCCAAGAGCCCTGAGCCTAGCATTGGAGGTGCAGCTGCATGTCTGAGTTTGGCATTATCCTCCCTGAGCCTCAGTTTCCCCTGGTGTAGAATTTAAGTGAACGTAGCATCCACACCACAGAACTGAGACCCAGAGAAGATGGTCTGTGGGAAGCCTTTGGTGTTAATAGACTTCTTTAATGGATAAGAGTTTCCGTTTGCTGTCTTTAACCTCTGCTGATGCATGGTGGACGCACACCCTTCATCCCAGTACATGGGAGGCAGAGGCAGGTGGATCTCAGAGGCCAGCCTTGTCTATGTAATGAGCTCCAGGCCAGCTGGTGCTACAGGAAGACCCTGTCCCCCCAAACATAATAGGGAATCAAACAAACAAAAACCCAAAACATAAAAAGCAAACTAATAAAACCTCTGCTGGCTTCTTTTGGCGGAGCGAACCATTTCTGTACTTTTCCTACACACATTACCACAACAGTGATATGTGATAGCACCAGTATATCACCAGTCACATCTAGACATTGACAGTCTTTCCATCTGGTTCAGACTCTAACCCATTTCACAGATGAGAGTGTGTATACACTAAGAATTTTGCAGTCACTCACGTTGTGAGATGTGCGACCAAGATTGGAACCCAGACTGATTAGCTCTAGAGTGTATACATTTAACTACTAAGCCATATCTCTCCTGTGTGGACAGCTGTGAAAAGGGGACATTTCCAAGCAGATATTGAGAACACTGGGAAAATTTAGCCCACTTGAATCTGTGCATGATCTTGGGAGTCAAGTGCAGGGCCCACTAGGAGGAGTGGGGACTGCATCTCATGTATCTGCCCTCTGTAACTGAGCTGCAGTGCCTCATGACTTTATGCAAGGCACAATGGGAGGGACATGAACATGGACACACACACACACACACACACACACACACATCCATCACTTGGGGGCAACTCAATCATGTGGTTCTGGTTTCCTGATACCACCAGTCTAGAGTGCCAATACTTTAAATGGTTACTGATCTTGAAACCCTTCCAGTGTGTCTGTACACTCCACCTCTGAACCTTCCTTAATCCACTGTCCACTGTCCTACACAGGATGTTCACCATGGCAATGGCACCCAGCAAACCTTCTACCAGGACCCCAACGTACTGTACATCTCTCTTCATCGCCATGATGACGGCAACTTCTTCCCAGGCAGTGGGGCGGTGAATGAGGTAACCGCATGTTGGGTCAGCGTCTTCTTGCCCATTGACTTTCTTCTTGCACTCTCTCTGCCTCTGTCCCATGTGATCCTGAGCTGGTGCGATGGCTTGGCCTTTCTGAGCTTCAGTGTCCCCATCGTGAAGCGAAGAGGTTGGATGAGCGTGCAGCACTAACCCCTTGAGGCTCTCATGTCTTCCCTGTATCCTTTTTTCCAGGTGGGCACTGGCAGTGGCGAAGGCTTCAATGTCAATGTGGCCTGGGCTGGGGGCTTGGACCCCCCAATGGGGGATCCTGAGTACCTGGCCGCCTTCAGGTAAGTACTCGGAGGGACTAGAGGAGGCCAGCCCAGCAAGACCACCTCTCTGTCCCTTTTCCCACAGGCCTAGGTTGGAAGTAATCAGTTGGCCTATCAATCAGCCCACTTACTAGACTTTGTAGGTCAGCCCCGATAAGGAGAAGGGGCGCACACAAGAATGAAGAGGCCAAAGCGTGCTTTATAACATCACATGTTATCAAGAACCAATATTAACAAGTGCTGGGGATGGCTGGGTAGAGTAAGCAGAACCATACATTGACCAACACATTTAGTCAAAGAAGGCTGCATGAAGGAGATGGGCATTGAGCAAGAGGCAGGACTTTAAAAGTGTCCTTAAATGATGTCCACATGGAAGGGTGGGTTTACTTTAAAAAACCACTCTGGGGGCTGGAGGGATGGCTTAGTGGTTAAGAGCACTGACTGCTCTTGCAGAGAGGACCTGGGTTCAATTCCCAGCACCCACATGGCGGCTTCAAACCGTCTTTAACTCCAGTTCCAGGGGAATCCGAAGCCCTCTTCTGACCTCTGCAGCATTGCACGACATGGGTGTGCTCACATACATGCAGGCAATATACTCATACACATAAAATAAAAATAATAAATAAAATATTTAAAAAAAAAAACACTCTGGAGAGGGCTTTGGGCTCCAGTAAGGAATCCTTACCTCCTCCACTCCAGGTCCCTGCATCTGTTTAAGAAAAAGGATGCCTGGAATTAGATTCAGAAGTCCTTTGCTGGAGAGTCTCTTCATGAGTGTTAATTCTGCAGGAGTCCTGGGTGGGACTTCCTGGCATCTGTGCCAGGTGCCCAAGGCTTCAAAGAATGCTTAAATGGATGCCAGAGTTGGGTTAGGGTTAGGGTTAGGGGTTAGGGTTAGGGGTTAGGGGTTAGGGGTTAGGGGTTAGCGTTAGGGTTAGGGTTAGCGTTAGGGTTAGGGTTAGGGTTAGGGTTAGGGTTAGGGTTAGCAGGGGGAAGAGGCTGAAGAATAGAGTTTGGCTGCCTAAGACCTCAGAGGGTCTAGTTGTTCTGGTTAGCTTTCAGTAGCAAGCCACCTAAGTCAGCTCTCAGTGTTCTGTGGGCAACTTCGGCCAAGTACTGAGTGTTTCCAGTCCCTGGGGCTTAGTGACCAGAGCCCAGTGCAACTGGCTGTGCAAATCAATCTCTCTCCCCCCACCCTCTCTCCCACCCCTTCCTCTCCCTCTCCCACATATACACAGTCCTCTTTCCTTCCCTCTCATGGTCATCTTTACCTCCTTTCTGCCTCTTGCTAGTTAAGTTCTCTTTATGGCTGAGTCCTCTAAGGCTACTGGACCAGGGCCACAGGTAGCCAGTCAGGAGATCTGCTAATACCACTGGGGAGATTGGGTGTCTCTGCAGGTGCTCCCAGCAAAGTTGGCAAGAGGGGGCTGGCACGGGCTGGTCTGTATCATGTGCTGGACCCAGGGTGGTGACGCCTTTCCTTACAACCTCAGAATAGTGGTGATGCCCATCGCCCAAGAATTCTCTCCAGACCTGGTCCTGGTGTCTGCTGGGTTTGATGCTGCTGAAGGTCATCCAGCCCCGTTGGGTGGCTACCATGTTTCTGCCAAATGTAAGGGGGCTGCAGTTATAGGGGAGGTATGGAGAATGAGAGCCAGGCTGTGTGGGGACAGGCAGGCACTTCCCAAATGAAAAGGGAAGGCAGCAATGACCAGTTTAGGGCTGCTTGTGAGGTCCAGGGGATGGTGGCAGGCCCTGGAATTCCCTGGGTTCTCCCAGCCTAGCACAGCCCAGGCTCTTTCTCAGGCCCAGGGCAGTTCTTCATAGGACAGACCCCTGGGAACTTAGGTCTGCTAGATGGCAGCCCCGTTAGTAGAACTTCCCACCAACTGTAGCTTCCAGACTGGGCTGGCAGCCGCTTTAGGAGGAGGAGGGAGAGAAACTGTGTCCCAGAACAGAGTTCCCATGTAGTCCACTGAGCCACAGGGCCTGGGCACAGAAAGGAGGTGGTATGGCCCAGTGAGAGAGACTCAAGCTGGAGTTGAAGCCCATGATTCAAGTCCCAGCCCTGCTGCCAGGGCCCAAGCTGTGGGGCCTTGAGCAAGAGGTCCTTGAGCCTGGAATGGAGCATATGAATAGACTTTTCCTGGGGCTTTCATCATCAAGTCACTGTCTAGAAAGGAAGAAGCTAGCTGGGAAATGACAGCTAGGGAAGGAGTCTGCCTCTCCTCCAGTCCCCTACTTTCTTCCCCCTCAATCTTCCAGGTTTTGGGTACATGACGCAGCAGCTGATGAACTTGGCAGGAGGTGCAGTGGTGTTGGCCTTAGAGGGTGGTCATGACCTCACAGCTATCTGTGATGCCTCCGAGGCCTGTGTAGCTGCTCTTCTGGGCAACAAGGTAAGCTCTCCACCCCCAGCCACCATACTTGAATTGGGCAGGTGAGCCTGACTCTCACAGGTCTGCCCCAGAGAGCAGGTAGATGAGGTGGGAAGGGGTAGGGCTGGAATGAGGTGGAAACATGGAAGCCTTCCCAGGTCAGGTCTAGGACCTGTGTCTTTTGACCTGGGTAGAGCCAGCTCATACTTATTTGTGGTTGGGGGTCCTGAGAGACTGGTGCCTGATGGATTGTTTTCTGCAGGTGGACCCCCTTTCAGAAGAAGCCTGGAAACAGAAACCCAACCTCAATGCCATCCGCTCTCTAGAAGCTGTGATTGGGGTGCACAGTGAGTTTGCAATGAGGACATTTGCTGAACCCAAACTTGGGAGAACCTTAGGGGTCCATCACCCCAATGACCAGGATCCCAGAGATCCCAGTGCCAGCCAGGCTAGGGGCATGTACCAGTCTGGAATACGATTTCCATGAGTCACCCCAGGAATAGTGGTGGGCACAGCTCCATGAGTGGGTAACCTCTGAGCTCTCCAGTTGGACCTAGCAGGGATAAGACAACGGCTTCCTTATGGCAGGGACTGTCCTCATTTTTAGCTACAGCTTTGGGCCAGGCTGACAGCAGCATTCAGGTCTTATTTGCCAAAAGGCTTGGTTTGTCTCCTCAGTGGTGGTCACAGTGCTGAGTCATACTTAGTAGGGTCTCTACATGGGTCTCAGAACACAACCATTGGGAAGGGCCCACGTCCAGAAAGCATGTTACAGATTCAGCTTCAACCCAGTATCTGTTGGAATCTATGCTGTGGATACAAGGTTAATATAGGTTTCCTCATATCCAGGGCTCGTTGGGGAGGCATGCATAACTACAGGCATGGCTGACTCTATGGAGCCTCCTATAGGCCAGGTTCTGGGCTGGCTTAGCTCATGTCCTTATAGCTCAAAACAGCAGACTGGATGGGTGTTCCTGTGGCCCAGAAGGGAACTGCGCAGAGCAGCCACAATGTCCCCCCCGCCCTTTTTTCAGTGCTGGTGTTTGAACCGTGAGTCTTGCATAACTGGACGATTGCTCTGCTGCTGAGCTACAATTCCAGCTCCTTTTGTTTTTTGCGGGGGAGGTTTTTTGTTTTTAATGTGTATGAGTGTTTTGCCTGTACCCACGTTGTGCAGTGCCCACAGAGGTCAGAAAAGGGCATCAGATTCCCTGAACTGACGTTAGGGACGGTTATTAGCTGCCATGTGGGTGCTGGGAACCAAGCCTGAGTGCAATGAAGAGCAGTCAGTGCTCTTATCCTACTGAGCCATTTCTCCAGCCTATGTGTGTGGTTTTGTTTTGTTTTTGATACAGGGTTTCACTGTGTAGCCCAGGCTGGCCTCCAGCTTATGATCCTCCTACCTCAGCCTCTTGCCTGCTGAAATTACAGGTATATACTACCATGCCTGGCCCATATTGTCTTTTCCTAGGGCTAGGATGAGCAGTGTGGAAGCCACACGAGGGGACCTTAGGAAGCCAAGGGTCAGGGATATGTGAGCAACTCTGACACAGATCTTACCTAGGGACAAGTATACCCACCTGATGCTCTTGGAATCCACATACCTTTCAGCCAAAAGATTGGAGAAAGGCTTGGGTATCTGTGAGGATACCCTCATAGCCATATTGAACCTATGCTGTCCACTGCTCAGGCCCACAGAGAAGGGCCAAGTTGGGAGAGGATATTGTACTGAGGGTCAGGGCAGGTAGAAGAGCTAACCCCAAGCCAGTGACACAGCCACTGTTCTTGGGTTCTGGGCCTGAGTGTCCAGCCTTTGTATCAGTCTAAGATGCGGGCTCAAAGGACTTGTCTTTCTCAACCTTTCTGACCTAGCTTCTCATTCTAGGTAAATACTGGAGCTGCATGCAGCGCTTGGCTTCCTGTCCAGAATCCTGGCTGCCCAGGGTGCCAGGTGCTGATGCAGAAGTGGAGGCGGTGACTGCACTGGCCTCCCTCTCAGTGGGCATCCTGGCTGAAGACAGGTAATGCCAGACCCCTAACCCTAAGTTCATGGCCTTCCACTCCCCTTGGCTCCTCCTAACTTGAAGACCTCAAAACCCCTGCATGGCTAACCTGATCAGCTCAGGCTTTTGAAGCAGAACTACAAGGGCAACTCCACTAAAGCGCTCCAGCATCCCACCCTTGTCCCTTTTCCAGGCCCTCAGAGCAGCTGGTGGAAGAGGAAGAACCTATGAATCTCTAGGGTTACAGAACAGATCACCTACCCTTCAGACGTGGCTCTGCTCACCTCTGCCACCACTCTGTTCCTGGGTCTTCAGAGATCCTGTGGGCAGGTAGTCGGGTCCAGAGCACAGCCTACCTTGACAGCCACCCCAGGGAACTTGCGAAGGCCCCTGGTTTGTAGGGCCCAGAGAAGACTCTAGGAGGAGGCAGGCTGAGCACTGGAGCCTAGCTGGGCTGTCCAGAACAGATGTCAGCCCTCTGGTGTCCAGGCTCCTAGCTGTGGCCTCCATCCCTCAGGACTGCACAGAGGAGGACTGGCTCAAGTGAGCCCACCCTTAACCACTATTCTTAGCTCAGTAGACCCTAGACTTTGCACACCGACCCCGGCTCCAAGCAGAAAATGTGAACTTGGCCTCAGCCAGGGTGGCCCTTCCCAGGCTCTGAAAGGGCTGGAGGAGTTGAGGGAGCCAGGGGTCCCCTAGTCTGAGTGCAGGAGAATCTCCTCTTACCTGCTTTCTTGGATGCCTCTAGAAACTTCCTCATAGCACTGGGCTCTGAGAGCCATTCTGAGCTGCTCTCTCCCTGTGAGCAGTCACCTGCAAACCTCCCATCTGGTTGCTGTCCTGCCAGAGGCCACCCCATGTGGACCATCTCAGTGCCCTGGTGCAGTGGACGGGTACTCTCTTGAGTCCTGTGCCTCCTGACCCAATGGTGCCAAACCTTCATCTCCCCTCAGAAGCACAACATGAGCCTTCTGTTTCTGGGTCTCCCCCACTCCAGCTCTGACTCCTGCCCCACATGCTGAAGGGGAACGGGGTGGGAGAACAGATAGACATGGGGCAGGGGAGGCCGCCCTGGCAGTCTTCAAGGCTTTTGAGGTCTAGGCCTGGGGCCAAGAAAGAGTATTTGTGTGTGTGCGTATGTGTGCAAGAGTGTGCGTGTGTGTGTCTCTCCCAAGACCCACCCTACTTTATGTATGTATGCATGTTTTTGTAAAAAAAAAAAAAAAAGGAAAAAAATATGAACAATAAATGTTTTATTTGCTTTAAAGTCCTTGTGAGAGCACCTCCTGGATTAGTGGCATGGCATCAAGGGGTGGGTATGCCAAGGTACCTGCCAAAGGCTGAGGAAAGGATGGCGCTGGGCCTGACTCTGCCCCCTTTAGCCCTTGCCCGTCCACAACCACTGTACGCACATAGAACTCACTCCAAATATACCCTTGCCAACTGTGCCTGCCCCCCTTGTGGTGAAGAAGGAGACAACCCTGAACTGAGCCCCTCAGGAGAGGGGGACAGGTGCTCAGACCTAACTTGCCAGGGAATCCCAAAAGGTTATGAAGCAAACATATATCTAGGTGTGTCTAGTCCTAGCTGGTAGGTCAGTGAAGTCATTTCCCCCTGGGGCCTCTATCAGTAAAAGGCTCCAGAAGTGAAGCTAGTCTCTGGCTCCGTCCTGCTCTAATGCACCATGTTTTAAGCAGATACTGTAAAGTAAAAGAAGGGTGAGGGAACAGGCCAGGACAAGCGCATCCAGGGTAAGTGGAGGGAGGTGCCAGTGCCTGCCTTTCTGGTTCTGAGCCAGCCAGGTTTTCCATACACTCTGAAGCCTCAAGCAGTCTCGCTAGGGTGGAAAGAGATCCCCCTTCCCATCTATCCTGGCCTGGAGAGTCGCTATGAATCTGCAGGGGCTGCTGAGGGGCTGTGGGCATCCTAGCCCTCACTTGTGGTGGGGCCAGGAGAGCCAAGGAGAGCTGAGCTAGTGGGATCCCCGTGCAGAGAGGGACCAGACAGAGGGCCCGCTTCCCACTCCCATAGTGCCCTCTCCACCCCTAAATAAACAACCTGAGGCTGATACAAATGGCTGCTATATTTCTGTGGAAGTGACAGTGACACAGATAAGGCAGAGAGCTGGGTGCAGGACACAGGTGGAGAAGAAGACACGTGACACAAAAGAACATGTGACATAACCCCTTTTCTCCCTCCCGAGTTAGGTGAGGCCAGTGTACACACAGAACAGCTCACGCCAGGCTGGCCTTCAGGAGGGAGATGAAAAAGATAAATGTTCAAGTGGAAGGGCAGTGAATGGGCCGGCCAATGTGGGGAGGAGGTGTCTCATGGCTGGGGTGATCTGGTGTAATAAGGGGTAGATGGGAGTGCAAGGCTGGAGACTCAGGAGTACAGGTATGGGGCTCCCTTCAGCCCCTACACGTTACCCCCTAACCCAAAGCCTTTCCGGGAGCATTCCCTGTGATCCTCAGTCTGGCCTCATCCTGTAAGTCCTGTTCTGGTATGGTCGTGTGTGCATGTGTCAACATAGGAATGGTTGGCTGGCTCTAGCACCCTCAGGGGAGACCAGCTTTGGATGGGAACTTAGGAGGAGGGACATGGAACTCTATTCAACTCCCCTGTCTTGGGGAAAGAGCTAATTGTCACTTCCCTAGTGACTGATGAATTTGGCTACCTGACCCTAGGGGCAACAAGAGGAGTACTGGGCTGGGGTTGGGAAATCTCTGCTTGAGATTCCTTATTTGTTCTGACCCCAGGTACCTACCCCAGCCCTAGAAGAAGGCCTGGGGCAACCGGGACCCAGCCTGTCCTGGATCCCTGCCAGTAGACATAGGTCTAGATAATCACAATCCTATCCCTTGACCTCTTGAGTTCATTGCCCTGGCTCTACTTACAAAGATTCCTCAGAGTGCTAAGAAAATAGATGCATTTGGAACAGTCTAAACTGCCCTCCAGCCAGGCCAATGGGCAGCTCGGCAGGACCCAGGTGGTACCAGGTCTCCTCCAAAGGGGACCAGACAGCTTTCTAGGAAATTGCACTGGTCCTGTTGTATATCTTCTGACATAGTTCTGGAGTCCCCAGAGCTTGGGGCGGACTCACTTGATGATTCAGAGGCTGAGTCCAGGTCCAAGGGCCCCTAGGTCACAGTGACCTCATTCCCTGGGTCAGAAATCGCTGAGGATGCTGATGTCAGCAAAGTCAGCCCGGTATCGGTGGGCATAGAGGCTGAGCAGGAAGGCCCACTTGAAGGAGATGAAGCTCCAGACGCAGGAGAGGTAGTAACTGACGGGGTCCTTGAGGCCTGCAGAAGAGAAGAGCCGATGGTCACTGACGAGGCCTACCCTTGGCTCGGCAGCCAGCACAAGGCCAGGACTACCTTTCTCCTCCCCTTTCCACATCCCTGCAGCCTCCTGGCTACTGAATCGAAGCTGTGGAAAGACTGGAGTACGATGCCAGTTCAGAGTACCCCAGGGTTTTTAGGTACAAAGCTAGGGGCATGAGAGAGCAGGGCTGGCCTGACTCAGGGCTGTTCATCCAGTCTGCTTTTGTGGCACATACCCTTGGCCACTTCCAACCTGCTTTACCTTCAGATTTCTAGAGGCCGGGGAAGGCCTCTGGCTACTTGTCACAGCCACCAGGGGGTGCTGCCCTCCTATGACTGGGCAGAGAACATGGGGGTGGGGGGTGGGGGCTCAGTGACTCCTCCTACCCCTGCTCTCATTCTCCCCACTTTAACAATAAGGAATCCAGGCAGGGAAGGTCAAGTGATCTGTCCAGTCCCTAGGACTAGAAACCCAGTGTCCACTCCTAAGCTGTTCCCTACCCCCTCCCTTCCTCCTTTCCCCAGACCGTCCTCACTCTGGTGCTGGGTGATGGCCAAGGCAAGGAAGGTGCAGAAGGTGGCGATGGAGACCACTGAGAAGAGAATGCCCACGAAGAAGAAGCCACGCAGCCCCTTGAGCCAGGTCCTCCAATAGTCCTGCATGTACATCACATGGGTCACCAGGACCCAGAGTGCCAGCACACCTGCGGGGACAGACTCAATCAGCAGGACCCAGCCTCCAGCCCGGAGACTCCAGATACCAGGGCCCTTGAGGGCCACAAGGCCAGATCCACTTGTACAATGACACCAAGACTGGCCCTTATGAGTGGAGTGACATCTTCTTAGAAGGCAGTGTCACCACTCCTTGGTGCTGCCTTCCAGAAAACCAGGTGTTAAAGAGATCTGTAAAAATACAATACCAGGCCATTCGTCTCCCTAATTTTTGTCCTTTGTTTTTTTGGAAAGCATGAATATCTTTCACAAACTTTTTCTTTTCTTCTTTTTTTTTCTTTCTTTTTTTGAGAGACAAGTTCTCATGTAGCTCTGGCTAGCTTTGAATTTGTTATCCTCCTGCCTCAGCCTCTCAAAGTGCTGTGATTACAAGTATACAGCACCACATCCACCTCAGAAATATTAAATATTTCTTTAAAATGCTTTAAAAGTTCTGTTTTAATTTTTCTTTCTTTCTTTCTTTCTTTCTTTCTTTCTTTTCTTTCTTTTATTTATTTAT